CTGATTGGCTCTAGTGCAAGTGGGAGATTGTTGGAAATGTGCCCTAAAACCAATCATATGATGATACTTTACGGACATTTCAAACTAATGTAGTTTAAAGGGCAAACATTATTGTTTGAGCCGTCTCATATAAATGTTATATGCTTAAACGATAAGTCCAAGGAATATGTGATTGGAAGAATGCGATCTAAAGAAGTTAGATTCATGAGACCATTCTTTCGTTGACACATCCTAAACGTTCCTGATCATAGGATTGTCAATTGGGCATTGACAGTTTGTTAAGATCAGTACGTGCTATGTCTTCTCTCAGGGAGAGTGACTAGTCTCGAGTCATTGGTGTGTGTGACATCAAGACAAGTACGTAGGTGCTCAATAGAGAATGAGTTCACTGAACACGATCAACGAAGAGTTCTCATATTCATGTCACATGAGAACTCATGGTTGGGATAATGCAAATTAGTCTTTTGACCTGAGGCATCACAGTTGTCTTGTAGTTAGGTCCTTAATATTTGATTATGTCAACGTCACTCTATCAGGGTGTCCACGGCATCGTCGGGGTTAAGCCACTTAGCCATGGAGGCAAGTGAATGTGCAACAAGGGATCTCTAACCTTCAAACTGTTTGAGGGAGAATACTCTATGATATGATTTGGAATCTCTGGCCAGAGTATGAATGAGATGTTGGAATGCGTTCCAGATCACATTCAAGGTAATCATATAAGTACAAAGATTCACATTGGATAGTAGACATGAATAAACTATCAAACCAAACAATGTGGTCAAGAGTATTGTATTAGAGAAAGACCGTATTGCATTTGTAATCCTAAACTGAATAGGTTCTCCACCTCTTCTGATTAGCTTGGGTAACCATGATATGCTGCTAGGTGTCACTCATGGTTTGTGGAAGCCCTAAAAGTGTATTATCATTAACGGGAGAATTGAAAGTAAGTTTCAATTCACAATCGATTTGAAAGAGTTTGAATCGCCCACTGCCTCGCTAAAAAGAACCTAATGGATCGTACACCGTGTAAGGTAGAGTTTGAAGATTCAACGGAGATGAGTAAGAATAATTAAATGGTTTAATTATTTATGGCAAGGATTAATTAATATGATTATTAATCAAACGAATAAGTTCGTTGAAGACCTCGGGATAGTTTTGGACCTTAAGGCCCAATGGGCTTCGAACGTCAAGCCCATTGACTTAAGTTGTATGACAACTTAATGAATAATGATTCACAAAGGCCCAAATAGCTCAATTAATCCGCATAGGCCGGCCATTTAGAGGAGGGTAGTGAACTTGGCTTAATTGCAAGTTTGCCACTCCATTGTGAGGTGGTATAAAGACATCTTTATAGCCATTTCATCCTTAGGGTTTTCTAGGGAGTAAAGATGAGAACACAAACCTCCCTTTGCTCTCAAAGAATTCGGCCAATCTAGAGGGGAAAATCTAGCAATCTTACTTCCTCTAGGTCACTCATTTCTTCTTTCAATATACCTTGGTGTGGAGACTTAGAGGTTCTCAATTTTGGGAACTTGGAGAAACCTTTTCATCCATCCAAATCCATGGATCCAAGATGCAAGGAATGAAGACCATCTCTTTGGGTGATTAGCCTTTGCTTATGCAAAGAGGAATCTACAAAGGTATTGATTTCTCAACTCACTTTATTTTTGAGTTGAGTCTTGATTCACCTATCTACTAGGCTTTGAATTTCATGGGTAAATGTTTTGTTTTAAGTGCATACAAGCATGATTCCGCCTTTAATATGTTAATTGCATGCTATTGATGTTGCTTAAATGAACATGTTTTTCACAAATTTTCCTTCACATCCTTCAAGAAAATCATTGACCCCCAATTTGGACTTGTTTAGTGTTTATGATTAGATTAGAATGGATTACGTCTAATTTGGACGCGTAAATACTCTAAGAAAAGTTATCTATTCTTATCTATTCCAAATTTCAATTCCTGTCAAATGGTAAAATTAGAAGAGATAAATTTCATTCATATCTAATCCTTTTATGATCTCTTAAAATAAAAAAAATCATTTGTCTCTAGCTTCATATATTTTGGATTTTATGAATTATCTAATCCCTTCAAATTCTTAAAAACGAACCCTTCTCATACTTGGTGATGACCGAAATCAGTGGCTATAGCCCACTTTTCAGTTCCTGTCAAATGGCTCATGGGCCCCATTGGGCCTCAATTGGAGAATTAAGCCAACCAGCTAGCCCAAACCAGCCAGCCAGTCCATCATTTTGAATCCTAACAACTACTTACTGACGTCTTGAATTTTTTTTATTTACAAAATAAAAAAAAAAGTAATTAAATTTTTTCCTATAACTTCCTAAGCTATTAAACAACATTAAATAACATTAAACAATATTAAATAACATTAAACAACATAAAACTTAAACAACATTAAAAAAAAATTATTGACATTCCAAATCCGACACGTGGCACTTAAATTCCGAGACGTAAAATTATTGAGATTCCAACTAGAAAAATTATTAAGGTTGTTTAATTTAAGTAACCATATTAATTCAATTAAAATAATAAATTATGTTTGGCCCTATGACCCTTTGGCCCCCTCGGTTGGAGATATTTTTTGTCTCAGTGCTATATTTGGCCTATGATCCTCTAGCCCCTCAGTTGGAGATGGTAATAAATAATGCATGATACTGTTCATTGAAATATTAATTTTTTGGAGGGCTATAGGGCTATAACGAGCCCTCTAACCCTTATTCAGTTGGAGATGGCCTTAGGTGGCCGCCTCTTCCAACTCCCCTCAGGGTCAGCTTTGACTCTGATCTATAAGTAAGAGCAATCATATTATTTCTTTATCAGTTTATCCTAATCAAACCATATTAGTATTAGATATGAAAATTTCATGCTAGTTAAAAAGAAAGCAAAAAGAATTAAAATCGATTTTTTGTACCAATGTAAAATAATAAACGGCAAGTAAAGTAAGAAATAAGTTCGAAAATCCCATCAACTTATGAATTTTTAGTTAATTAACCTCCCTTTCTAGAAACTCCAAATTTCCAGAAGATCACCATTTTATACCTACCGTACTGTTCCTCAAAATTCTTAGAATCCAATTGAAATCATATTTTCTAACTTCAGTTTTCCATAAATAAATAAATAAACTCCACCAACAAATTGAAAAATGAGACCCTTATTCCACGACATGGTCAGAAATTAATTAATATAATGTATAAAATAATCAACTAGATTTAATCAAATAATTAAATAAATACAGGATGGTGATCTAAATTTGACTACATACACAACACATAAATAATAAATATTATCGGGACAAGGAAATGGTCTTAAATTTGATTAAAAAATGGAGGAGAATATAACAACACCACAAATACCACACACCGACAAACTCCAAAGATTACAACATATTCAAGCATCCGCGTGACAAGTTTTAAGTACTAGACATGCAGCAACACACTAAGTATCATGAACCTGCATCACAGCCATCGTAATATTATAAGTAATGAGTATCAATTGGCTTATTAATTAAAAAAAACACTCTTAAATCACGGTGGCGAAAACAATCATATCTACTTTAGTGCAGATTTGCTATCCACTTATTTCTCCTCTTCACACCACCCTTCCTCCCCACCTCCGGGGCCGGCGCGCATGCGCGCACCACTTCACAACCACTTTCTCTACGTGATCATCAGTTGAGAAGAGAGATAAAACACTTTTTTTCGCGTAATCATCAATTGAGAAGAGAGATAGAGATAGAGAGTGGTGAACTAAAATTGACTAGCCTTTAGGACTCGTTGGAGATACTTTTTAGGAAATACTTATGCTCATATAAGTTTTTTTTTTTTTCTAAAATGATTTTATTAAAAACACGTTGAAATTTTTATTTAAAATCTAGATGCTTCTTAAACAAACATTCGTAAGTACTCTCGTAAAAGTATATGACAAGGGCATTTCTAAGAAAACGTTTCTATCACCCAAAAACACCCTTGAATTTTTTGTCATGCCTAATCAAATTTTCTTTTGGTTGTCAAAAAGGGCTTTGGGAGCATGTTTGATATTGTTTCTTTATTTACGCTTCTTTTCTCATTAGCACTTATGCAAGATTGCCTTTTTATCATAAACCCATTGACATTGTGGCAGTATTGTGGTAGTTACAATAACAATGTCAATGGTTTTTTTCCCTTCAATTTTGAATTCATTGACATTGTTACTGTAACTGCCATGTGCTTCTTTAAAAAGCGCTATGAGCTAGAGCACTTACAAGTTTTTAGCCAAACATGGTAATAATGTTTTTAGTCATTCGTCTGAATCCTAAGCATTACCTTACTCATTTCAAAAGTCTAAACATGCCCTAAGTCTAGTGTGTGTTGTCTTCAGCTAGTTAGACAAACATTTCAAGTTTGACTCATATTGATGCTGTGATGATGTTATGATGAAATTGATACTTGATTGGGATTAATCCCATTATAGTGCCGCAACTTTATTGACGATGTATTGTCCCATTTTGGCTTATTGTAATCATGGTTTTCAAATTTTACACCCTAATTTAATTTTAGTCTAATTTTAGTCTATGAAATTTCATATTAGTTTCTTTAGTCTTCAAACTTAATAATGCGTTGTATCAGTGCTACAATTAACCCTCCCATTTTAAAATATTTTTGTACACATTTTATCATTTGTCAAGAAAAAACCAATTCCACACTAATCTTTTTTCCAGAATTAACAATTTAACACTAGAACAATGGTTTCTCTCTCTTTTGAAGATATCAAAGTATCTGTACGGACTACCATTTTTGCAAAAATTCGTATGAACATTGATTCCAGCTTCTAATTATGTAAACATTGACTGATTCTCTTCTAAGATGTCGTTCTCAATAAACCCCATCTACTAACCAAAAAAGAAATGGAAAAATTAGCACACGCAAAAGCAAAACCAGAGGATATTAATATTATCCAATTTTTAAGCTTCTGTTGGAGTAAAAAGACAAAGAAACCAAAAACCAAGTCAACCGCGTCTGGCTCTGTGTACTTCCCGAAGGTCTACATAGGCAACCGAAGAAGTTTGTTAGCTTCTCATCCAAAAAACAAAACCCAAAAAAAGTAAAAGGGAACCAACCCAAAAGCATCAGTGGTCTATGCTATCAGCTACCGCTAGCTATGGTATCTGAAAAGTAAAAAGTTGAGATATTTTTCGTGTCTGAATTGCAGTTGGGTTCTTAGTATTTATGTTTTTTCTGGGGAAAGAGGAAAACATCGTGCTGGCAGATTGAACCCAGAAAACAAAATCTCAGTCTGCAGGGAAAAGAAGATCTTTGCTTATTTTGCTGTTGGGGATCTTTTAGTTTGGATTTTTAGGGTTTATGTTGGATTTGAAGACCTTGGTGAGAGAGAGATTTTGGGAAACTTTTGTCTGATGGGGGTTTGCTGGAGCAACAGAATCAAGGCTGAAAGTCCTTCCAATACAGGTATTTTTAATATTTTTCTGGAAACAAAACAAGTCAGTTGTTGATTTTACCTCAGAAATTGTTGAACTTTATTTTTCCTGAATGTCTTCTTTTTGTTTGACCAGATGGGTTTCTTAGTTTTTGAGGTAATTTTATATGTTTTTGGTTGATAATTTATTTTAGTGAGGCAATAATTTCACTGCTTTTATATCAGTTCATCTGTTTTGTTGATGGGGTTTTAGGGACTTCTCAAATTTGATAGAAATATAGAATCATGAGTATTTAAAGGTTTTGTTTTGGCGAAATTGTTTTGGTGATGAATGATGAAAGTTTATAATTGTATAGTATGAGTTCACCACTACATTGTGAACTGAATCTTTTGTGATATATGTCAATCGGGTTGCTTTCTCTGCAGGATTCAATTCGAAAAATGGGAGTGGTTCAAGTAGCAGGGCCTCGTCGACTTCCTTGCCCCTGACTCCTCGGAGCGAGGGTGAGATCTTACAGTCCACTACTTTGAAGAGTATCAGCTTCAGTGAGCTCAAAACCGCCACAAGAAACTTCCGTCCTGACAGTGTGCTTGGAGATGGGGGTTTTGGTTCTGTTTTCAAAGGTTGGATGGATGAAAGTTCGCTTAAAGCGTCCAAGGCCGGGACTGGCATGGTGATCGCTGTGAAGAAACTCAACCAAGATGGATTCCAGGGTCACAAGGAATGGCTGGTAAATCCAATTACCTCGTTTTCATTTTTATGAGTTTTGACAGTGGTCTGATATATCTTCTTTGTGAATTGTATACTTATAACTTGCTGCCTTAGTAGTTTATTTCTCTTAGTTTATGAGAATGCAATTTGAAATTATCCGTAAAGATTATTGTGACTCTGCTAATGCTTGCAATTCTTGGCTAGATTATAGATTGTCGATTTTGCATTATTTTCGGAGCATCTCTCAATACCAGAGTGATTAATAGTACTACATTGTTGGACATATAGACAGAAATCAACTATCTTGGTGAGCTGCATCATCCCAATCTTGTGAAACTCATTGGTTATTGCTTAGAGGATGATCACCGGCTCTTGGTTTACGAGTTCATGCCTAAGGGCAGCATGGAAAATCATCTATTCAGGAGTGAGTTCCTTGCATCCTCCCTAGCGGCATTCTTTTTCAATAGTTCTCCTCCCCCTTTTTGTCCTTAGAGAAAACATATTGCAAGTTGCATATGATACCTTGTTACTGAAGCATTAGCTATTGTTGCAACAGGAAGTTCTCACTTTCAACCACTTTCTTGGAGCCTCCGAATGACAATTGCCCTCGGCGCTGCAAAGGGACTTGCCTTTCTCCACAATGCTGAAAGACAAATCATACATCGTGACTTCAAGTCATCAAATATTCTGCTCGACTCGGTTTGTAACTTGATACCTATTTTCATCAGATTCAAGTATGGTTTGATGTGCCACGTTTCAGGGTCCCCCCACTGACATCTGGTTTTAATTTCAGAACTACAATGCAAAGCTGTCTGATTTCGGGTTAGCCAGGGATGGGCCAACTGGTGACAAGAGCCACGTCTCTACTAGGGTCATTGGAACCCAGGGATATGCTGCTCCGGAGTATTTAGCCACAGGTGCTACTTTCATACTTCATTCTTCTCTAAGACCCTTTGCCTGTCTGAACCTCTTTGGCTTTTAGAAACCAAGCTCGGGTCGAATGTCATGCTTTAGATGATATTTCAATTTGCGGAGCTAATAACTGGCTCTTTTCAAAAGAATTCAAATTTTATACCTCACAAGACAATAGTCTTTCAAATTAAGTTTTTAAGATTACCCTCACAAAATAATGGCCCTTTCAATCTTAAAAGAGAATGTGAGCGGGGTGATTTCATTTCGTTTCATGGCCTTCTCTTATTTTGGTCTCTTAATGCATCAAACGCCTAAAAATATTCTGTCAAATTACCTTCGTTCAATTGTCGGTCACTGCTGTAATGCGGCTGCGATTGCCAAAGTTCAGGTATTAAGAATTTAATGGAACCAAAGTTCAGTTAGTGCTTATCTAATTGCTGTTTTCTTCGTCAGGTCATCTTACTACCAAGAGTGACATATACAGTTTCGGAGTTGTTCTTCTAGAAATGTTATCTGGACGACGAGCTATAGATAAGAACAGGCCAACTGGAGAACACAATCTGGTGGAATGGGCAAAACCATACCTGAGAAACAAACGCCGAGTTTTTCGTGTCATTGATCCTCGCCTTGAAGGTCAGTACTCAGTCAGTCGTTCCCAAAAGGCTGCCGTCCTTGCACTTCAATGTCTTGCTGTAGATCCCAAGTACAGACCTGACATGAATGAAGTGGTAACCATACTGGAGGAACTTCAGGACACAAAGGGCATACCAAAAAGTACACAGAAAGAGCACAATGCAACTAGTCAAGGCCTTCCTAACGGTGCGCCTGACTCCAGCAAAAGGAGTGTTGACGACGCTCTCAGCGTGACTGCTTATCCCCGGCCTTCCAGAAACCCACTTTTTGCTTGAAGAGAAAGCTTTCGTGTTGCCCGAGATATGGGGAAAGGTGTGAAGTGAAGTCTTGAATCTTAATCTTGAGAGTTCAAATTTGTACATACCCAAGAATTGTTCAAGTAGTGTGTAGTGATTGTGTATAATGTCTTCGAGTCTATTGCCTTATGGCATTTTGCGGTGATTTACTCACAGAATCACCGACGGTGCAGAATTCTGTTCTGGTTACTGAAAAAAAGAAACGCAGAATTGCAACATGTGTATGAGAAGTGTGATTCAGGTTCAGCTCATTCGGGTATTTTTGGTATATCTCGAAATTATATGACCTTCATAACATCCTCCATGAATGTCTCATATGGAGTCTCATTCCCAAATGTAACATGTAAGTCGTAAGCTCCCGGTGCATCGGAGATATTATAACTCCGAACAGCGGTTATATAAGTTTTTATTCATACTTCAACAAGAATCCATTGTTTCCATGGCCTGAAATTAGAACACCTATTAAAGATCCAAATGAAACCCTAGCCGTCTTGAGAAAAACCAAAGGAAAAATTCTTTGCCGTCGATCCATGCTTTTGGCTTTGAGGTCGGCGGCAATCTTCTTAAAAATTATCTTTGGTCTCTTTTCTCTCATTTTTCATTTACTTTATCTGGTGTTGAATTGTCATTGTGAAATGCTATGGTCACTATGATAATTGTTGTCTTATGCCCAGGCACACAGCTAACACAAAGTTTTGGATCCAATTATCACCTTCGATAAATGGTTAAAATTGGAGGCCATGGAAAATGTTGAATTGTGTCGGGATCATGTTTAATCGGTATGACACTTTAGGTTTAGCTGGTGCAGTGATATGCCTTTCTGATTTCCAAAGGATATGGAGCGGCAACATGATTTTATCCTTTTATCCTTTTATCCTTTTATTTTGTTATCATTTAATAATTTCCAGGAGGAGAGTTTGCTGATTTGATTGCTCTATGTAGGAGAGTGCTTGATTTTAACTTTGGATTTGGTGCGCTACCTCCTTTGGATATCTGTGCGAAGGGTGGAGTTGGTTGATTTGCTAGATCTACTTCATTTGGTGTTCTAGATCATGCTCACATGATCTCCATGTAACATAAAGTTTAACGGTTTTATTGATATGTGTAATTGTGTGGTTCTTGATGAGCTCTTATGAGTGCTTGAAGTATACTTGTTGCTTTGCGAGCGATTAGTGATACTTTATTGTAATATTTGTTGATCTAGTTTGCAAGGATCCTTTTGGGCTGAGTTCTTCATAATTTGTATTTGTAATGCTCTTCTATCAATGAATGAAATATCGTACTTTTCTTAAAAAAAAAAAATCCGACAGTGAAATTAATTTTTTTTAATTAATTCTGTCAATACTTAAACCGCACCCAAAAAAATTAAAAACCTAACTAGAGGTAATATCAGCTACGTAGAATCTATGATTATTCCCTAATCGTTTATATAGCGTTTGATTCTTCATGTAAGCACATGAATCCGCTGTAGCACATCTGACAACGGATAGCTGTTTAACTGGGTTCGACTCCCGGCAACAGAATTGCCGTTTTGCTTATTTCAACATGTTTTTCAAATGAAAAAGGAAAATATTAGGAAGATAGAAACTGTGGGGAATTTAATTTTGACAACATTTATATAAATTTTAAGGCTTAATTATTGTGTCACCCCTTGGAAGTCATTTTGACTCAAATCAAATGGATCAAATTTTAAGGCTTAATCCATATTCATTATGCTCATCTCTTAGTGGAGTGGGTAAGCATACCCATGCATTACCCAACAAACCCATGAAATTCTAACTAATACAAACGACGTACGCTGCTTCTTTTGCTGGTCGATGTCTCTCTCTCTCTCTGAGATTCAGGTCGGGCATCAGTGGGATGGGTCGTGGAGGACGGGGTGTGCGGGAACCCGAGTTGACGGGTGGTGGATAGGATCGCGGAGGGGGAGGTGGGGGAGGTTGGTCGCATAGGGTGGTAGTTCTTTGGGTTCCCAATCACTATCATTGACTTTCATCAATTCCATTTCTTAGTAGACCAGCTAACCGAACCAACATAAAGTTAAGTCCCTTGCAATTTACGTGTTTGGAAAAACAGATTAGAGGGTTTTTTTTAAATAACTTTAACAAAAAGCTTCCAGTGCTATTTATTTGAACGAAAAAACATATTTTTACACTAAAAAGTCAATTCTGGTATTATTCATTTTACCCTTTATTCTATTCTTATCGTTAAAACTCAAAATTTTCAAATCATTTTCATTAAATTTTTTTTTAATATATTCTTGAATATTTTATACTCTGAAGTGTCGTAAAATTTTCATTAATGATAGTCCAAATCATATCTCGCATGCAACCAGGTAAAATTTCGTTCAAAATTATCTGCTATCAAATCCTTCTGGTTGGCAATATTAAACAATTAATAAACAGCACCAACTTCAAAGCAATTGTGCCATAGAAGTTTCTGACGTACCAAAACAGATTACAACGCACAGCCGGAAAAAAGAATTAATTAGTTATATATATAACACCAATTTGCATGGGACGACCATGACTTCTGATTCCATTATCCACAGCTTAAACCATCGATCCAGTTTGAACTTCCCACAGAGAGAGAGAGAGAGAGAGATGGCAGGTGGTGTATTGGAGGTCACATTGGTTGAAGCTCAGGGTCTCAAGAACATGGATTTTTTTGGTTTGTTTAATTGCATAATTCCATCATTTCTGTATTGCTTTGCCTCAAATCTGTTTCCATGTTTAATTATTGTGTTCATATATTCTTGAAATTTGCAGTAAAGATGAACACGTATGTTATAATCCAATATGGAAATCAAAAGCATACAAGCAACGTGGCCAAAGGTCAGAATCGTGACTAAAATGTAATTCATGACATATTTTATACTCATATTGCTAGTAGATAGATTTCATATGTGCCAACCAATCAAGGATAAGGACCATAAATAATTGGCCCGTTCGCTTGTTTTTGGTTAATGATCACAAATGAAATTAATTGGGTTAGTACTATATATATTCAAATGCAGGATCAGGAACGAAACCAATATGGAATGAAAAGTTTACATTCAACGTGGAATATCCTGGAGGCGCAGATCACAAATATATGCTTTGGTTTCGTATCATGGACACCCAAAAGCTCTTGGACCATGATGTAGTTGTCGGTGAATCTAAGTAAAGTCCTATGCATATATCATTGTCACTTTTATTACATTAATTATCAAACGTAAGATTTGAATTCAGAACTTTCTCAAATAAATTAAAGACTAAACGCGAATAGATCGATTGTTAGATACAGTACATGCAACATAACATCTGTATTATAATTGTTGATTGGCATGCAGGGTGTACGTGAAGGATGTGATAGCGTTGGGCACAGAGAGAGGAAAGGCTGAACTTCGATCTGCAAAGCACAGAGTTGTCCTTCAAGACAAGACTTATGCCGGAGAGATCTCTGTTGCTTTAACTTTCACTTTAAATTCATAAGCAAATTGTTGTTCAAAATCCAAATGTTCTCAGTTCACGAATAAATAATCATGATTGCTCAAATTTCCGTCAAGCCGTCTTAGCTCAGCTGGTAGAGCGCGTGGCTTTTAACCACGTGGTCGTGGGTTCGATTCCCACAGACGGCGTTGTGATTTTACTTTTTGGGTTCATTTAAATAGAATGAGAAAATAAGGCCCAATCTACCTGAGACAACTATAAGAGCAACTCCAACGTTGCAAAGGTCCCTTAGGGCTGGCTATTCACTATTGAACCCATCAAGTGAATAGTAATTACTTTTTGCATTTCTACCTCTAAAATTGAATAGCACTGACATAATAAAATATTAGTATTTTTTCTTTTATAAAATAATACAAAATTTTATTTGTAATTTCGAATAAAGCACCGAGAGCATCACAATAATTCCCTACCATTTCTTCGCATCGTGAACTTGGAACTTGTATATTTGGACTCCTGGCAACTTTAGCAACACAACTGGGTCCTTGCATGCACCATTGATGCATTGGGAAGTGCAGTGATCCTAGACCCTAGAGCTTCAAGCTCTAGCTTGTAGTTTCAGGTGAGATTTCCTTGTTACTTTGAATATTTGGGATTCTCTTGTTGGTGTTGTGATTCCGAGTGAAGACTTAATGGTTAAATTTTTTTCTTTTCACTGTGCATGCTTTTTGTTTCGTTTTTCCAAAATCTGGCAAGCTCTGTTACTCACAGTGGTAGAACTTCTTTCTTTTCATTTTAGCATTTTTTGTGCTTAAATTATAATTTTTGGTGGAGTTTTATGTTGATATCAGAATCGGGAAGAATCCCTGCCAAATATTCCGGTATTCTCGGGCTAGCAATTTGTGTCAGGCCTGTCGCTCGGGCCCCCTCCGGCGCTGAAGCCCGCATGGGCTAGACTTGATCTCCCCAGCGATTTGGTCCTGTTCTGTCCATGGTCCATTGGGCTAAATGTCCCGCTGGACTTGCTCTAAGGTTAGTCCATTGGGCTACAAAAGAAAGATTATATTGGGCCACCCTTTATAAAATTCTTCACTAAATTTAAATGTTGGACAAAATTTAAAATTCATTGGTGCTTAGGCCTCATTTCAAAACTATTTAGAGCTCGTTTGGAAGTGTTTTTCATCAAAAGTGTCTTCAATTATTTTAAAAGCATTTCCAAACAAGTATTTAGTCCTTTAAAAACATTTGTCAAACGAGCTCCAAATAGTTGAGATTGTTATTGAAAATATTATTTTCGCACTTCTTTTTTGATCTGCACTTTTATGCTTAATTCGATACTTTTTCTTTCATTTATTCAATTCAATAGCTAAAAAATGCTAGAGAAAAGCGAACATCACTCCTCTTAAATTTTAAAATAATATAAATAAGGTTAAAAATAGGTAGCCTTACAAGCAATTCGTGGCCTCTTGACATTGGCGTAGGCTGCACTGTAAATTGTAAAATTGAAGAAACAAGTTTTTGATAGGATTCCCAAGTATATATATTCGTATTCTACCAATCTCCATGGATATGATAGATCAGCCCTCACAACCTCAAAATCCAATTTGTATAAAGATTCCAAATATGTGACTACTTGACCAAAAGCATATAGAAGGGATAATATGTGAGTAGGTCAAAGAATTCTGCTTTTTACAAAACAATATTTTAAATTACTTTAATGTACAGAAACGGCACTTCAAATTCAAGTATTGAGACTAAACACATTGACCTGACCAATGTTTTTTCGCTGTAAGAATAATCAGCTGTGGAAAAAAAAAAAACAAAATAAGTGTTTGATAAACTATAGTCCTAAAAGTGCTTTTAAGATTGTGAATATGAAAGTTTCATCAATTGGTATTGTTCACTTACCTCCAATGAAAAAAAAGGTTTTTGTGAGAAACATGTGTAAAGCTGCTTAGTTGTTTTGGACCCGTGATTTTGAAACAAAAAACGTTTTTTTTCTCATTTTCCAAACACGTTAAGGCTCCAGTTTTTTTAAAAAGCTGTTTTAAAAAAAATTTAAGCAACACGAAATCAGCCATAAGTTAGCAAACATATTCTACGTTAGAAGAATATAAACCGTTAACAATTGACATCCTAAACTGCAAAAATCTTTGCACCAATGGAGTTTCTTTTCTTACACCGAAAGTTGTGAGATAATGTGGTGGATAAGGTATAAATGCCACCAACGTTTTCTACACATCTACATGGAACCTAGCACCGCCCTCTAGGGTTTGCTTTTGAAGCATTGAGCTTTTAATTTTGGAAGCAAATAAAAGAGCTTCAATTTTAGCATCTTTGACACATTCATCTTTGGTTTTGTTTCAATGAAATCTTCACCGTCCGTTCGATGCTTTGTGTGCTCTTTGGTCATATATATGCACAAAAAGGACCACAAAAATTGATTGCAAGAAAGCAAATAGACAACCAATGTTAATTGCCTCCAAGGGGGAGTGAAATTGAAGGGCATTCAAGATATTAGCAAGCTGTGACCATCTGATAGGAACCATTTGACAACATGTGTTTGCGAAATGCATAAAGTTGTAACGCAATCGGGACATATTTTAATTGTTCTTTTGAGAATATACCTCTATAGAAAATATTTCAGGTCATAAGTGCTATTAAAAGTGCTTTCAGTTACAAGCTCTCTTACAAGCTAAACATGAATCAAGTTTAAACTAATGGAAAATGGTAGTTCTGTGGATGCTTTAGGTAAAAGGAGTAACTAGGACGAGAAAATTTCAAAGATTGAGGATTGACATCAACAAAATATTTATGGTGCTTTGAAGTATGAGATGCCCTCAAGCTTTTAATCGTTAAATTTTTATTTTATGCTTTTCAAAAGAAAAATTATCTTTAAAATTTTTTAAATATCTGATACTTCAAAGCACCATTAAAAAATCTTTGTAGCATCAAATTACATTTGCCGTGGTACAACATGGTTAGGAAAAGAAGACTAATTAAGAACAAGTCTGAGTGGCAGTTGTAGATAGTATTCGGCAGATATACTCACCAATAAAGGTGTGCCACGCACACTAACTACCTCAAACTGGTTGGTGCTAATCTACGAATCACATATGAATACTCAATTTTATAAGAGGAAATTGTAGCACTGGTTCCTTAATTCTTACCCTTGAAGTAATGATCTCTCAACTAAAAATATGTGACTATTGGTCCCTTTACTCATCAAAATGTGCAGTTATAGCACTTTTAGTCAACTCCGGTAGAACTTCAGTCAAAATTTGTCATGTGTCACGCATGTGAGGCTGAATGAAGGGGCAAATGGAGAACCAAATGAAAAAAATTGTAGCAATGGTCCCTTAACTTTAACCTAATTGTAGCAATGATCTTTCTAACATGACTCATTTTGATGGTATTCTGACGAACTTGACGGAAAAAATCATAGTTCTACGTTTTTATGAGTTAAGGGACTGATGGTCATGAATTTTAGTTGAGGGATCATTGTTCCAATTGGGTTAAAGTTGAGGGGTCATTTGTACAATTTTCTCATTCTATAAAGAAAATGGATGATCCTAGAGAGACCATCTACTTCAACCATATTGTGTAGAGCATATTACTATGATTGATGGTTGGATTCCTTTTTTAAATCATTAAATTAGGAAACACAATCATTAACGGCCACATCATGCGGTCTACAAAACATGGTCCCCAGTATTTTCCTAAAGAAAATGCTTTAAAACTTCCTTTTTCAGTTTTATCTCCATTCCTAAAAGATGATATTATTGATGCTTTAAAAAAGATTACGCATTCGTTCAAGTGTAATTTTTTTTTCCCTTATATTTCTACGTACTTGAAGTGCATGATGACTTCTATGAATTGCCAATAACGGCTCCTTCTTAAAAGGAATTTACTGATATTACGAGACCTGATTTATTTGAGAGAGATGAAACATTAGAGTTTTTGTATAAAATAAAATAAAAATTAAGAGAATAAGAACTTTGCACTCATCGGAGTTCATCCAACATTTACTTTATTGTAAAAATACCATATAAGAAATTATTTGTAAGCCACAAGAGTCTTTGGGCATCTCTCTATCGAGATTCACAAGAGGCCTTCGGCAACACTATAAAATTTCAACTTTTAGACCAAAAATTCAGTAAGTTAGGATAGATTCCTCTTTGATCTCAAAATTTATGGTTCATTAGTTTCTCAGAACTTAATTCGAGCAAAGCAGCTTTTTCCTAGGCCAAATCTCTCAAAACTCGAGTCCAAACACTCAATGCTAGAAATTTTACCAAATTTAAAATAATAGAAAAAAAGAAATAATTTTTGCACTATCTTTTTTTATTCTAAACTCTTGTGAATATTTGATCTTTAGTTTTTCTATACTTTATTCAATCCAACAGCCATCAATAATAACTTCTGCGAATATTTGATCTATAATTTTTCCGTATTTTATACAATCCAATGGCCATAAAACATTGTTGGGTGTCAAAATCATTTCGCATGAAAATCTACAAAAACCTTAATCAATACTTATTTCTAGTGACAGTGGGTTCGACGATGGCACAACGAGGCATGAAAGGGGCAGCGCAGTAGCAAGTATATGGGTCTTGGGCATGGTGGGGCGTTGTACGGGGTGTACATCAATAATTTTGAGAAAAATTATGGATTTTTATTTTTTTTGAGTAAATGTACAATGATTTATATTTTAGAAAAATTTGTACTGAGTAGCACATAGTTTTATTAATCAAGTATCAAACTTGTGATCCATGTGAATCATACTTTAAAATCTTTCATAATCTAATCCCCCGGGGGGGGGGGGAAGCGAAATCGAAATGTGCAGTCGCAAATGGCCCCAAATTTGAAGGGGCCCCCAAAATTTTGTCATCTAATATTATGTAATAATGTTTTATATTTCGAAAATGGCTATGGTTAACATTTTAAAATCTCATTACATTCCTTATAAGAGTAATTTTTTTTTCCTTTTTAAATATAAAAAGGTAATGCTAGGAAGACTAAATGAGCACGTATATCAGCTCATATGTCTAATTTACAATGACGAGGGGTAAAGCAAATGAGCTGCACGATTACAATGACGA